TACACATTAATTAATCTCCATACTAATGTTCACGGCTTACGGCGTCGTCGCTGTTGACGCTTTTGTTTGACTTTATTTTATTTTTTCGAGCCAGAAAAGAAATTGGTCGATAATGATATCGTTTCAAAAAAAAAGAATCGATTTTAGAATCGATTAATCGCGATTAATATTTTTTCAGGTATATTTAATAATAATTGTCTGCCAAAAAAAAATCATTCATCAAGATTTTTTTTATTTTTTATTTTCTTTACTTTTTAAATATTGGGATTTTTTTGTCATTCACTTTATTGTTTTATCTTAATCTAATTAATTTGCTAAAGAACTGATATTGTTACAATCAGTTCTTTAATGTTTATATTTATAAACGAACGAATGTAAAATAGCAGAAGGATTTTTATAATTGTTTAATAAAAAATTAAATGTATCAGTAGTATCAGTACTGCCTCAACGTCGACTGTACTCTTCGGAGTCAATTTTATTAAATGTTGATATTACTACGGCTATTAAAAATATCTGTTTAAGGGATTTATCTATATAATTAAAGATATCATTGAAGTAAACTATCTACACTAACCCAAGCATCAATCCCGCCTTTTTATACATTATTTTTGAAGGGACGAAAATCTATAACTTTATTAAGCAAACAATCAAATCTTTGATAAAATGTTGCGGTATATGAAGCTCACTTAGTTGCGTCAACTGGCGAACTAATGGTCCATGATAAACCGACAGAATCAATATTATCAAATAAACGTGTTGTGTTGAACCAATTCCAATATTCTTCCATTATTAGTATTAACAGCCTTATTCATTCATCTTCGTCTTTCAGGAGCAAGTCCACTACAAGAGGTATTCTCTGTGTTGAAGAATATACATTAGCTCGATGAATAATTGAACTTAACGAGTATTAAATCGTGTTATTAAATATATAGCCTTCCGATAAAATATAATTCTTGGTAAATATTTTTTTTGGGATGGCTTCTATTTTCGCTTCGGATACAGCAATCGTGGTTTGATTTTCCAGTGTGACAGGTAATTTTTTCTTTCCTTCCTATAATTTTATTTTATTTTATTGATTTTTTCTTACGCGAATCTTTCGTACCAAATATTTCGAGCTGTATTGGCAAGCATTTTTTTATTCATTAAAATTTTTTTAATGATATATTTTTAATCTATTTATTTAATTTTTTTTTTTAATTATTTCTTTTATTTCTTTTTGCTTCCTCTTACGAGATGGATTGATTTTTCATTTAACAAGTTTTTTTTTAATTTTTACAAGTTGGATGCAAGCCGCAGAGATTCTTTATAAATATAAATATAAATATTTATTATTTTACTGTTTTATTTGACCGTTCCAGACCGTAGCCATTAGTATTATTTTTTTTTAAATCGTTTATATTTTATTGTGAGAGCGGGATAAAGTCAGAATGTAAGAATCGGTTTGTGCCTTTATTATAATCCTGAAATCGTACATATTATTTTGAATTCGATATTTTCATGTTATGTTTAGTAGTAAATGCCATATTTTTTTAAAAATTATTTATATGTAAAATTCCAAAACAGATGACGTATTATTTCAAAAAGAGGACCACGATTGTAAGTTTATCCCCCCAAAAAATTAGACATGTAAATAAGGCAATAAGACTTTCGATTCAAATTCACCTCTACTCCCAATATTCAATTTTTCATGCAGGAGGTTGAAGCGACACAGGAAACATTTATTTTTTAAATATAAAAAAACTGATTCTTGTGATATTTGTAACATCACAAAAAAATTGTCAAAAGAGAAAGGTACTTGTTCGCTATTAGTATCTACTAATACCCAGACTGCACGACGAGGACGTCAATACCAATCGCAACCCAAAAATTTACATCGTATCCTGTAAACAAAGAAATAATTTAATTAGAATTGAAGATAAATTCAATCTTATAATAGTTAAAGAAACTTACTAAAAAGAAATGACCGAAAGGACATTCAGTTCAAAGCATGGTCGGAAATTTCGGAAGATTATAAACATTGTAAAAGTGATAAATTTGTTAAAAACGTTTTTTTCTAAAAAAAAATTAAATTCAAATATTAATAGAATACATTCATGTTAAAAAAAGGGGCTTTTTGTTTATTGTAGAGACAATTCGATACTTTTGAAAAAGATAAATTGTTTAGAAAATATTTTTTAAAAAAATAAAATAAAATTATAATATTAAACAGAATACTTTCATGTAAAAGCCTTTGTTTAATGAAGTACATTTCGACACATTTGTAAAAGAAGAAATTTTTTAGAAAATGCTTTTTTTTTTAAAAAAAAATTAAATTACAAATATTAAATGGAATACTTTCATGCTACAGGGTTTTATTGTAGGGACAATTCAACTTCAGGCAAGGTCCAAGACGGGATCGATAAAGCGAAAGTTCTTCCAAGAATCACGACCATTTGCAATGGGATCGATAGTTTCCTTCTTAGGATCATGACCATTTAATGGGATTGATATCTTCTTCGACCATTTGGTGGGATCGATAAGACCGGATCAAGACCATTTGATGGGATCGATAGGAACGGATAGCTCTTCCAAGAATTACGACCACTTAATAGAATCGATACATAGAATATTTTCTTCGAAAGATCACGACCTCGATAAAAACGGATAGTCTTCACAACCTCTTGGACGGGAGATTTTCAACCATGGATCATGACACCTTGACGGACCGATAAAAACGGATATCTTCATAGGGTTATTCCAAGGTTTAAGACATCTTCAAACCCAAGATTATGTCCCGCAATAGTTTCGAGTAAATCTTAGAAAAACATAAAATAACAGGTATTCAAGGAAATATAGTTTGTTGAGCAACTCGTGCAAGACATGCAAAAAAAAGCAAAAAATAACTTGGCATGATTCGATAATATGCTCGCATCACAAAGATATTTAGTCTTTCACTGTAAAGAAAATTACCTACTGCAACAAACAAAGAAAATATTTTGAGCATAACGTATCCGATGAGTCATAATTTACGATTTATTTATTTTTACGTCATATCGCCAATAACATATATTGATCAATTTGAATTTGACGAAAGGTAACCAATGACGCATCACCATGTAACCTGAGATCTTTGCAGTAAAGAAATAAATATTTAATTATAAATTGTAAAATGAATACGAAGGTTTAAGTTATCAAGTGTATTAAAGTATACCTGGGGTAATTAATTCCATCTGCTCCAAATGGAATGTCGCAAAATCCTTGCGAACCACCTTCTTTAGTTTCTTCATATCCAATACATTTTGAACTAAAACTCCTACTAATAATACATCTCAAAGTCTATCACGATAAGAAATAATAATTGTAAAATCGTCAAGTATATTTACAATTTCTTGTAAGTTATTAACTTGTTTATATGGCGACCTTAATAAAATATTTCCTGCATGGTCAATGATTGAGATTCCATGGAATTCGGGAATTGGTTCTGGAATGGCTTTTGTAAGGCTTGAAGCGACAGAGGAAGTTTGTGCAGTTTAATAGAAAGAGTTCCGCGAGTATTTAACCCGATATGATATCCTTGCCATCAATCTATTCTTACATGAAATATTTTGAGTGAGTTATTTGCAAATTTGTTACATGATACTGGATATATTTTCTCTTCTCCCGAAGATTTTTATCTTGAATTCTTTTTTATCCTTATTCATTATTAATGCATGGTACAGCCCCTGGACCTGCACCGGCTATAACTATTGGAATTTTTGCGTGTTTCATATTTTATTTTATTTTATTTTTTCTTAATATAAAAGGATTTTTATATAATAATTTTAAATAATTAAACAAAGATATGGGTTTATTGTGTTTTATTAGATATTTTTTAACGAATTGAAGAAAGACGACGGATTATTTATATTTAAACGATCAAACGTAATGACACGTTCGATCAGTTCTGGAGGGATCATGTGAATTAACAAAATTCTCATAATTATCCGTTGAGGAAATGACCAATGACCGGCTTATCGGAACGAAATTTTGGCCACTTATTCATTTATAAATTAATGTTGAATATTAAATTATTTTCCGAAAAACTTTTTTCCTATTTGATAATTAATAGATAAATAAAATGATTCTGGAAATGACTGCGCATTCCACGCTTTGATGAACATCACCTGCTACTAAAGGTTTTCTGCTTGGAATTAACCCTCAAATAGAATTTGATAATAATATTTCTGCAATCTGACATGGAACTGTCTGCTCTTACATGGTATAACAGCCATACTTGGTAAGAATTCTATCATTTCCTTCAAGGAAAAAAGTGAAGTTGTTTTGGAAAAAGACTCGACTATCGCTTATATTCTTAAATATAAAAAAAAAAAATTTACAAATTTTAAAATTTTTCTGTCATCGCACTATGGCTTCCATTCTCAGAGTGTTAGTCTATGTTACATGCAGACAAATGAGCAAGAGCATCAACTTTGACGCCAAGCGCTTCTTATTGATAATTCAATTACAAATGAATAAATATCGGTATTATTAAGTATTGAACAAATTTACTGAATTTAATAAGTTACTTTAGACAAAAGATTAAAAAAGTTTGTTAAATCTGCGAACAAGAATATTTGGCAAAAACTTATTGTGAACATTGCATTCGACATCAATATTTTCAAGTTGGACGTCAGGAAATGATAAAATTGATATATCAAATGGAATCGATCATTCCGTATAAAATGATTTGATTAGTGATTGAATGGATTCCGATAGGGAATGTTAAAGAAAATTCTCGTCTGGAAAATTGTAGTGGATATTCACGTCGGAAGACAAATTTGGAACATTTTTATTTTTCCAATCATGCAACTTGCAAATCCTGAAATTCTATGAGAATATTTTGGAGTTTTTTAAGATAGTATTTTTAAGAAATTTCTCGAAATCCATTTCTATGCATTTTTAATGACTCCATCAAATTTCTTCCTTAAACCGATTTAAAATCATAATTTTATTCAATATTCTCTTTTGATAGCTTAATTAACATGTCAAACATCGAAACAAAACTTGATGAATGTAATCCGGATATATCAAAAATGATTAATTCTACGGATAATATCAATATATTTATTCAAAAATTATTCATACTTTTGATTGAAATACAAGATGAAGGCAAAGATTATTACGAAACGAGGGATTTTATTAATGAATGCATTATTCTTTCAACTAGATCAACCGATGACGTTATTAAATGGCTTAAGGAAAATCAAAATGAATCAAAACACGTTTTCTTCCTTGGGATTTTTCTTTTTATGATTATGGATTTGAAGGAAATAAGAATGAAATGTTTGAATGCTTCCTAAAAGCAGCAGATCATTATCCTATTACGCAAGTATATTTAGGTAGATGCTATAATAATGGATTTGGAACTGAAATCAATAAAAATCTAGCAACTTATTGGATGCAGAAAGCAGTAGAAAATGAAAGTATTTGCGCACAATATGAGCTTGCACTTTTATATCAAAATGGTGAAGGAACAGAAAAGAATCTAGAAAAAGCCTTTTATCGATATCAAAAAGCCGCGGAAAATGGAAATGTACACGCTCAGTATAACCTTGCATTATTATATCAAAATGGTGAAGGAACAGAAAAGGAATTAGAGAAATCCTTCTATTGGCATAAAATATCTGCAGAAAATGGAAATATATGCGCACAATACAGTCTCGCAAATTTATATATTGAGGGGAAAGGAACGGAAAAGGATTTTCAAATGGCTATCCATTGGTATCAAAAGACAGTAAAAAATAAAAAGATAATACATGATATTCATTTAAAAAGACGAATTGACAAAATTACGCCATCATTGGGATTTCTAATTGAACCAGAAAATGAGATTTATAATATTTGTGATAATTGTTTTAAAAAAAGGAGGCGTTTAAAAGACAGCCATAATATTTGTATAATCTGTTATCAATCTAAATTATTATATAATCAAAGCGGGAATAAAATCATCGATGAATATATACAAGTTAATTTTATACAAGAATCTAGTAGAATGAAGTATATTCCTTATAATCAATTTGCAAATATTGAAAAAATAGGCGAAGGGGGGTTTAGTAAAGTTTATAAAGCTATTTGGAATAATGGTCCACCTTATTGGAATGAAGAAAAAGAAGATTTCGAATATGTTGATGTTAATAAGACAGTCGCTTTAAAACAACATAATGATTCTAAAAATATTATAAATGAGGTAAGTTTTTAATTTAATTTAGAAACATATATTAAATCTTTATTAATTAATATACCATTTTAATAATATAGTTTAATATGAAGGATATTTTAAAACTTTATTTTATTTAAATAGATATTATGGAATTACTCAAAATCCTAATACAAAAGATTTTATAATAATCATGAAATATTATAGATATAATTTAAAAAATTATTTAGATAAAAACTTTTATATAATTGAATGGAATGAAAAATTAAAAATATTAAAACAAATTATCTTTGCGCTTGAAAATATTCATCTCCAAGAAATTATTCATCGAAAATTTCATAGTGGAAATATTTTTTGTGAAAATGAATATGATATTGTAATAGGTAATTTAAGAATTAGTAAATTATCAATTGAATCATCCCATGATGATAATGATTATTATGGAAACATACCTTATGTTGCTCCAGAGGTACTTCAAGGACAAAAAGGCAAACATATACGAAAGCTTTAGATATGTATAGTTTTGGCATGATAATGTGGGAATTAACGACTGGTAGAAGACCTTTCTGGGATCAATGTTATGATGCAGATCTTAAGATTCAAATTATTGATGGTGTTCGTCCACCTATAATTACAAATGCACCCAAAGGTTACATTGGATTAATGCAACAATGTTGGGATTTTGATCCAAATAAAAGACCAACAGCATCTAATGCTCATGAGATTATTAATAAAATCATTTTGAATGAAGAAAATAATCCAACAAAGATAATTAAATCATCAGATATTGGACCAATTCTTGTTTCAAGTAGTAGGTAAAATATTTATATGTACTAATGATATTTTGTAAAGTACCAACTAAATAGGTTTTATTTTTAAATAAATAGATATTGATATTGACGATTAAAATTATTAAATTAAGATATATTATTACGCAACATATTTAATGAGTTTGAGTCATACACCCAACATTGTATTTATTAACTTGAGTTGTTAAATCTTTCTTCATATTTATAAACATTTATTAGTTACTTTTATTTTTTTATTTTTCAATGTATTCTCAATAAAGCTTCAGATTATATTTATATATTTTTGTTTCAATCTGACTTATTTATAAACTGTTTTTATAATTCATAATTCTATAACATATGAAGTTATTATATAGCAATTGAAATGCTTAAAATTGAATTTTCATCTTCATACATTTCTATAAATCAAATTTAATGAAGCTCAATTCTAAACTGACCAGAATAACGATGTAACAGTGTAAGCATTATGGATGTTTTGTACTTTTAACTGTAAAAATAGTAGTCACCTTAAATTTTACGTTTATCTCTAATAATAAAGCATCATAATATTTGATGAACCAATAGTATGTTGATATCTTTCAAAGGTTTTATAGTCAAAGGTTTCTGATACACGATGAGTTCGATAATCATATCCCATTCGACATTATTCATATTTTTAATGCCAGTTTACTTTAAAGCATTGAAGTGTATGACAATTATCTTGTGCTTGCACAACTTTTTCATTATCCTCAATAAAAATCATCACACATGTATCTTCCGACTATTCTGTTAATGACATTAGATCAACAATTCTGATAACAATCCGTACGATTCTTTTTTGAAAAATAATTTTGAATGGAAGTAATTAGCGGCATTAAATGCTTTTATAATTGCAAAGATTCTCTAACAATCCCCTTTCAAATGTATTTTAATATACAGTAATTTATCGAATTGACTTTTGGAAAAGAGAATTTCATCTCATTTAAAGTAACTGCAATTGAGAATATTAAACTATCCTTAATTGTCTTATGAATATTATTTTGATTCCAACTAATTGATCCTTAATATTACGATTTAGTAAACAAATTAAGGATGAAACGCTTGCATTAGTATTGTTAAACAGATAAAATAATCAATATATACTTTTTATCATTCCAATTTGGAAACTTTATCAAAGACCTGAGACTTAACATTATTTGACATTTTTAAGAATAACCTGATCGTTTTAAAAGGAATTCTCTTAAATAGTTGCAACTAGTTAAAAATTTTAACATTAATTACAGCTCCATCTTTAATCCGGCTCTACTTGAAAGAACCTTATTATTTGATAATTTACATTTTTGTGCTTTCTAAATATATAAATTAGTTATTTATGAAGTTAATGCTTTTCCTGTTTATATAAATCTGCTTTATATTTTTTAAACGGAAGAATGGTTTATATAGAATCAACGCTTGTCTAAGTTAGCTAAATTATCTTTATTACAGTATAATATACCTTGAATGATTATTTAATTCTTATAAAAGATAATAGATTCTTTTGAATTATTAAAAAAATAAGAACTTATTTTCGTAGAAATCTAAGTTTAAAACTTTATATGGTTAAAAGTTTATGCGCTTGGCAATGTCAATCATTTTTATGATATCCATTAATACACTCACTTAATACGCTACTGTATTGAATAATTCGATTCGATTACGGTAAATCGATTAATCGCGATTAATTGTTTTTCAAATTTAAGATATTAACACTTGATTTTCGGCCTTATTCATCGATTTTAATCAAAAATAAATATTATAAATATACGGTATATAATTGCATGATTTTGTCACAATATTATTTTTTTTATTTAATTGTTATCCGAGGTTGATTAGTTCAAATGATGAATCTCATGTATTCTGACCAATATGTCCTTGATGAAATTTAGATATAAAAATGATGGCTTTTTGCCTGGAAATAAAGAATCGGATTAACATAAATTTTCATAATTAAATATTTCCCCAAATATATATTAACGATAACGAAATCTTATACCTGATCGTGTAGAGCGCCGACATTGAGGCAATACCATATCTATGTAAAATTTTCGAATACCATTATATTTATGCGGAATAAAAAATATAACTTACCAAGTTGTCTGATGGAGTTGTTACCTATGCACCATATATAAAGATTTGACTTATCGTCTGATAACAACAAGAAGCGAAGTAGCAATGCTAGGTTTCAAACTCAGGGGGGAATCGCCAAATTCTATAATATTATGATAATGTAGATGAAAATAGGCTATTCAGTAATGATATTATGTTGGCAATCTGCAAAAAGTCTTACCGAAGGTAATTTGTGTTTATTGTGTTTATTTAAATTTAAATTTATAATTTATTTATAATTTATTTTAATAGATGTCAAGACAATTTACATAAAAATTAATTATAAATCAAATTACACGGAATAATGAGCAAATCGATCGTAGTCAAAGATTATAAAGGTGAAGAATTTACAGATTAAGAAATGAATTTATATTATTTTTTATTTCTATTAACCAATAGTTATCATATTAAACTTTAATTTTTTCTAGAATATTGTAAAGAACTTTTCAAAGGATTTGTTTATCCTATCAATATACTCCTGCTAGGAAGAATTTACGTTAAATTTATCTAAAGTTCTTTAAAAGATTCTCTCCACCTAATCATTCACTAGCAAGCAAACTATAAGAGAGATAGATCAATTTTATTAAATTATTAAAATGGTCGTTAGTTCTAAAAAGAACAATGTTTTGGATTTTAACGTTAATAGTGTCGCTCTCGGAAATTAACTGCGCCTAAAACTGGATTTCCGCAGTCCTGACGATCAATTTGCTGATGACCGTTTTTGACATAACGAAGCAATCAATAAGCATTATCGTCAGTCAAGCCGCAATAATTAGTAATCCTGTCAAGAATTCTATAACTAAGCCATGGGAAGGAAATTTATTATAAAAAGAAGGGTTTTTTCGTCTTGATATTAGAATAGAATTAGATAGATTTCTTTTCTCTTTAGGCCTATTACAGAGCGCCGGCAGAGGCAGTAATAGTTGTTTTAATTTATTATTTCGCATATATATTTAATAAGACTATTTCCTTTTATTTATTTCAATAAAGACTTTATTTATTTCTCGTTACAAATTGTTTTACATGCGTATTTTCGCTATACTACATTGTGTTCCCTAATAAATCTAATAAACCTAACAAACATAAAATCGCCTCTTTACGAATTTAGGAGGTGACAATAGCAAACGACAATCCAAATTAATTTTTCTAAAATAGTTTACGATAAAGAAGTAACTTACTAATATTTCTTACAAGCTTCTGCATAACTTGATTTATATCTGTATTATGTTATAAATTTTTAATTTTCAAGGACTGGCTTTTAAATATATTTATTAATTAAAATTTTGGCAAATTAGCTTTACGTGAAGCAAAGGAGGTCACAAGAATTAATTCAATCAGATAAACCAAAACTTCCAGAAATTCTGTACCATAATTGATTTACTTGTACCAACTTAAAATGAAAATAGACCGACTCAACATTTAATTAAAGAGCAAACATTTTAAAAAGGAAGTTCAAAGCACCAACTACTTCTTTTATATAATATATTTTAATAGATTTGACAGAGAAAATCCACTAATGTAATATATACAATTTGCTCACCATAATTCACTCTAATGTGATGAGCGAAAACTAATCGTGGAAACTTGTGGAATTTAAATCAATGGGCTTGACGAAAACGTATTTACAGAGTGATAGAAACAACCAACCTTATTTGTCATAATTGTCAATAATTAATTTAATTGAAATTATTTAATAGGTGATATAAATTGATGTCCAAAATACCTACTAAAATTATTTTTCTTTTTTGTATCTTTGTATGTGAGTGAGAACATAAAATCTGTTTCGTTGCAATTGGCGAAGTTATGTAAGAAATATTTAGTTGTGAATGATTTTGATACATTGTAAAATCATTTATAACTAACTTTTAATAATTTTTTTGACGACGAAAATTGCATCATATTTCTTGAAAGATTAAAATATAATAAGATCTGCGTTATAAAAATATTTTAAGCTATTGGAATCGTTTCAAAAACCAAAATCGAAAGTCGAATCGGCAAAAATCGGTATGAACTTTTTTCAGTATAGAACGTTATAAAACTTTATAACAAAATTCAAGCAATAATCTTTATTTATTAGAAAATAAAAGCTAAAGATTTAAAAAAAAAATTTCATCATATGCACAAGATGTGAGATGTCACATGACATATTTTGTGTAACCGATATTTACCGATTCATCGGAATAATGAAAGTGTCGTTATCATTAAACTATTTTGCCGAGTTTGAGATACAAAATCGTTATTACAATCGACTTGACCTTGGCGATTTTCGACTTTTGATTCCGAACCCTAAGCAAAATTTAAAGCCAACGCCCAATTGGTTGATGATTAGGAAAAAAGTTAAAAAGCAACAATTCTTGTTTTGTATTAATATATTTGGAAAGTTTACGAAATCACGAGTTGGTTTTATAAAAACAGGGATTTCCAATAATAAGTACATATCGTAGGATCCTATATTGACACCTAAAATATCTAACAAAAAAATAAATTCATAGTTGTAGTTTCGTAAAGACGAGATCAATTTGTTATTCGAATCATTGCAAAACTATGCTTGCCATTTGACAAGGGAAGGGTATAAGGTTTTTGCTTTTTTATTGTTTAATATATTACAGTATTGAAATATCCTAAAGATTAAAATACAAAAAACTTAGTCTTCATCATCAAAAATTTCACCTCTAAGTTTGTACCTTATAAGGTACTCTAATCTATTTTGACCATTATAACCTTCTCCTAGTTTTTCTTCATGTTGAACGTTTTTTATATACCATTTTATTGCTTTATCCAAGTCAAAGTCAGTCCCTTCCTCATTACCATAAAGTTCGCCTAGCTTATATTGAGCTTTCCAGTCATTTAATTTGGCGCCCTTTTCAAAATATTCAAATGCCTTTTGCATATCTTCAGCGGTTCCGTACCCTTTGCGATAACATTCACCTAAATTTGTTAGAGCGCACGCATAATTTTTATTGGCCGACCTTTGAAAGTAATCAAATGCCTTATCATGGTCTTTCTCGACGCCAAGTCCCTCAATATACAAGTGTCCTAGTTTGTCCATTGCAGATGCACAATCATCATTTGCAGCTCTTTCGTAACATTCAAGCGCTTTTACTAAATCAACTTCAGTGCCAATTCCTTCCTGATAACAATATCCTAAATTTGCTATTCCATACTGATGACCTCCTTCCGCTGATTTTTTATATAATTCGAATGCTTTGTTTTTATCTTGTTGAACGCCATGTTCGAATTTATAACAATCACCGAGATAATTCGTGGCTGATAAATTTCCTTGCTCTGAGGCCTTTTCAAACCAATAAACAGCAACCTTAAAATTACGTTCAACTCCTATACCATGTTTATATAAATATCCAATTACTGAATGTCCCCATGTTAATCCTTTGTCTGCCACCTTTTTAAAATATTTAAAGGTAAGTTTACCGTTTATCGGAATAGTCTCATTTTCATATAGGTAATATATTCCAACATAAGTATGTCCTAGTATATTGTTTTGATTTGATGCCTTAAAAAATAAATCAAAAGCTTCTTTTTTATCACAATTTGTTCCAATTCCAGTATGATTAAAATATCCAAGTAAATAAATATTATTTGACCTATTTTGATTACGCAATAACCAATGAATAAATTCTTGTAAGTCGACCATTTGATTCATAGAGTAATCATTAATGTGTCGTATGACCTTCTTTTCTTCAATTCCTTTGTTTCCGTTATCAAGGATAATATCAACTATATCGTCAACTATTACAACATTCCGTTTATTTGTTAAAGTTTCCATCATTTGTTTTGTATTCATCTGATCAAAATTTTGAACGCTTTGAGAAATCTCAACAACACTTGAAGAATCATCATACATTTGGTCATTTTCTTTCATCTCAACTCTTGAAAGGAATGCTTTTACTAATTTTTTCATATCTGGGCGATGATCTGGTTCATTATTCCAACACTCTAAAATAAAGAATATATTAAAAATTTTTAATTATAACTTTTAAATATATTAAGGGTATTTGATAGTCAGACTTGAATAATGTAATTACCTGTATAAAGTTTTACATAATCTTCTGGTGTATATTGAATAGGTGTTTCTCTAATTCCTTGCGTAATTTTCTCGGCTAAACCGGGAAAGTTTGTTTCTCCTTCGATATAAAATGGTGTTCGACCACTCGAAATCTCCCATAAAATTACACCTACGCTGTAAACATCACTCTTAAAATCCAGTTTATATGTTTGATCCTTCAACCATTTCGGATCAGCATAAGGGATTACATCATAAAATCTTGCTTGTTGTTTGGATGATACCTCCTCGATCCTTTTCATCAATCCAAAATCCGACAGTTTGATACTATTTTGATGAATTAATATGTTGTCGGGGTGCTATTATACGTAAATAGATAATATATTAATACCTTTTAAAATAAATATATGATAAAATGCAATAGTACAATAAATTATACAGATATATTACCAAATCACGATGTACAATTCCTTCGTCGTGCAATGATGATACAGCATAGGATAATTGAAACGCAAAATCGTATTTTATATCCCAGGTAACACTATTAAAATGATTCTTCAAATAATTTCGAAGGGTACCGCCATCAGCGTATTCCATCACCAACCAATAGTTTCCCAATTGATCATCTAATCAATTATAACAATTTAGTAAATACTATTAAATTTATGATTTCAAGTAGAATACACACCTCTATCGGAAGTTGTAACACCATAAAATTGAATGATGTTGGAGTGAAATCCGACTTCACGTTGATGTTTAAACTGAAATTTATTAATTCAACGCTTAAATTAGGAATGAATACATTTGCGTAAGGTAAAATTGGTGAATGCTATTATAAATACCTCATGAAGAATTTCTTTAACCGTGGCGTTATTAAGATTATTAAAGGATTTCAATGCGAGACAAATATTAGATTCTTCCCAATTTGCACGATAGACTTTCCCAAATTCTCCAGAACTAATTTCTTCAATTTCGTCGCAAAAATAGTCATACTCGTAAGAATTAAAATGGTCTTCAGAAAGAGCTTCTTCAATCCAATCAATCCATTCATTTGAATTATCGATATTTGCCATTTTGAATTTTAAAATATATTGTGTTTAACGAAATTAATTTAATAAAATATTATTTGTCAAGAAAAGAAAATGTTTTCTTATTTACGTTGAGAAGAGAGAAGAAAAAAAATATTCTATAAAACAAGAAATTTTCCCATTTATGGTTGATGCTTTCTCAGCCTTTGTGTGAAACGTATTGTTCTAGACCTCCGTGTCGATCCTATCCTATTATAAAGAACAAAAAAATAGATTTTTCGTTCCATTCGTTCTATTATTGATAATCTAATTTTTTTCAATGATACGGGTCAGATGAAAATTACAAATTAGCAAATGTGTTACCAGTCTTTGATCGCCAAAAGTAAATTATATAACGATTTAAAGTCGAAAACAGACTGATTGTTTCCTAATTGGCAACTCATATGTTGTATGACGGTTCGGCCCGGATGAAAACTCTTCTGATCCGTGATCCGATCGATTCATTCATGTTAAACATGTGAAAAAAAAGAAGCTTTTCCATTCAATTTATTTAAAATAATTTTTTCGAAAAAATTAATTATTCTATTAACAGTAAATTATTATATATTATATTTTATACATATTAGTATATAATCATCATAAATCTCAAAATCATGTGATCAGTCCAAGTTTTCTGTGATGATTCTTATATTAATAATATTTTGGAATACAAGTTTTTTATTACTTTTGTATTAAGAATTATAACATATTACATTTAGCAAGTAAATTAGTCATTTTAGTAAGAATTAGAGACTTTTTTTTTGCTAACTTAAAATATATAACAAATAATATGATTTATTATGCAAAATTCTACTCTACATAGAAACTTTCCAATTTTTTTTTAAAATTAAAATAAATTATAAAATTTATTATAAATCTATTATTTTTAAAAAAATTTCATTCTTAATAATTAAAATATTAAATATATACAACTTTGATTTTTTTTAAATCAATAATATTTAAATATAATAAATTTATTTTTTAAGTATAAATTTTTATATTTTATAAAGTTTTTATAAAAATAATAAAAATTAAAATTTTTAGCTTTGATAAAGGAAAATACTTTTATTTAAAAATTTTCAAAAAATTTGAACTTAAATTATGCAAAAAGTTACTAATATTTTTTTTGATTTTATTTAAATTTTATATTAAAATTATACATTTTCTATTTATGTATTTAAAAGCTATATTAAAATAATATTGATAATATTAGTTTTAGTAATATAATTTATAATATTATTGTGAGAAAAAGCTTATTAAAAGTACTAATTAAAAAATAAATTATATTAATTAGAAATATTATATTAAAAGAAAATTATATTTCTTAAAAAAATTAAAAAGTTTAAATCCTTCTCATTTATTTATAGGAAATTTAATAAAATAAATAAAGAAAATTAATATTTTTTTATTTACTGCTTTTTTAGAAAAAATAAAAACAAATTTTTAAAACTCTAATTTTATTATTATACATTAGTATCAAAAGAAATGATTTCAACTAGTGTATTAAAATAAATAAAATATGTTTATAAAAAAAAGGTTTATAAAAAATTAGAATCAATCAACTATAATATAAGTAAATTAAAATATTTAGGCCTAATGATTCTAATATCTAATAATATAGGCCAAAAAGGGGGTTCTGGTGCAGATTTCTAAAAGTTATCCAGAAAGATTCCTTTCCGCCTATAAACCCAGTTTGCTATATGATTTCTAATATCAAATTCAAAGCTCTAGCACTTTTTTGACTCAAATATAGATAATGTTATCGAACTTGGCTATGAATTAGCCTGTCTGATACCAAGAATTATACTGT